CACCCAGGCACGGTCAGAGGCGTGCTAAGATCTCGGGCAACTGCTTCACAATATTTCTGCTTCGCGCGCGCGGGGCGGCCCCTTGGGGTCCCCGAGCGCAGAGTACCTCGGCCAGGTCCCCGGCAGGGTCGGGCCAGAGATGGTTTTCCTCCTGGGCGCGGCTTTCAGGCGCCCCAGAGCGATCCAAGAGGGCCCCAAGAGGCGCCCAAGACGGTCCAAGAGGGCTCCGAGTCGTCGATCGGCACCGCATTGGCAACACCCTGACAAACGCAAGCGGCGAGGCAATATGGGCCGGCGGAGTGAGCGAAGCGATTACATAACAAGGACCCCATCCTTTGGATGTGGGGAACAACAGGACGAAGCAAAGGGGGACAGAAAAAAGAGCAAGGAAAGACAATCCGCCGACCCCTTGGGGATCATCGGCGTGTGAGATGCTTCCCCCTCCCCAAACCCCTCCCCCGGGAGCCCGGTCCGGTCGATTTGGAGGGGGGGGGGGGGTCCGGCGCGAGCGGGGGGGGTCCGGGACGAGCGACTCACGGGGCTTTTCCGGGCCCAAGAGGGCCTCAAGACGGGCCAAGAAGCCCCCAAGAGGCCTCCAAGACGGCCCACGAAGGCTCCGAGACGCCAAACGACCGGTCCAAGACGCCCACGATGGCCCCAAGACGGGCCAAGAGGTCTCCAAGACGGCCTCCGAGGTCCCAAACAAGCCTCCCAAGAGGGCCCCAAGAGTCTAAAATTGTTGATTTTCCCGAGTGTTTTTCGACGTTTCTTGCTTTCCCGCCTTTCCGGCTTCCCGACGCTCCAAGACGGCCAAAGAGGCCCCAAAGATAGCCCCAAGATGGCCCAAGAGGCCCCCAAGACGGCCTCCAGACGGCCCAAGACGGCCCCAAGACGGCCCAAGAGGTCCCCAAGACGGCCCAAGAGGGCTCCAAGACGGCACCAAGAGGGGCCCAAGAGGGCGACCAAACATGTTGAAACTCTAGCTTTCTGCCCCCAGGAGCCCCAGGGGGCCCCAAGAGTGCCCCAGGAGGCCCCCAGAGGCCCTCACGAGGCCGCCCAGACGCCCCAAGGAACCCCCAAGAAGCACCCCAGAGGCTCCGAAACGGCCCCCAAGTGGCTCCAAAACTCGCGGTGTCGCCGTCCGCTCGGACCCCCCCGCGGAATTGCCCGAGACCCTCTGGCGGTGGCGGCGAACAGACACCAAACAAATATCACTCGCCTTTTCACCCCTTCGCAGCTTCTACTACCCCCAGATTGGCATAAACAAGGGGTCGGCGGTGTGGCGTAAGCCTAAGAATAACGGTGTTACCTCAGGGACGTTCCATCCTACCGTGTACAAAAGCAACCATACAAAGTCAACAGTCTGCCCTCCATATGGACCCTTTGTCGTCCACGACGCAACATGCTTGGCAGGAATGGGGTGCGGCGCACGTCGCGCGCGACACAATGAAATGCCGCAATCGCCGTAGCATCGCTCACATTCTGTTGGTGAATTCCACTCAGCATTTGGCGCTCCCATCCCACTTCCGTATACAGCACAGGTGTATGCAACATGTATACGGAAATTATACGCTGACGCGTCTGCACATGCACAATGTTGCATCTATGCATTATATATATATACATACATATGTTTTATGTGTATGTATGTATATGTATCACATACGGTATAGTAAAATACAATGTAGTATGAATAATGTAATGATAGTCATACTCATACATATCATACCATACCATACCATACGCACATACATACATTCATACATACATAGTTGTATACATATAGATGTAGGTACTTGTCCAGTAGCTTCTACAGACATGACGTATTTTTATATAGACGTGTCTACGCATATCTGCATATGTATGGATATGTATCCGCCACCGTACCTCGAGGCACGCAGTGGTGGATAGTTCCCCAGGCTTCTAGGGTTCTCTGTACTCTGTACCCAGTTTTGAAATACATGTATTAGAGCGGGGGGGGCACAATCTCAAATCGGTCCCGCGCGCTCCCGAGCGTTGTCGGGCTTCCTCGCGTGACTTTTCCAAAGGCCCGAAGGCCCCCATGACGGACCAAGAGGGCGCCAATAAGTGCCCAAGAGGCTCCCAAGACTGTCCCAAGACGGCCCAAAAGTCCCCCCAAAGCGCCCCCAAACGGCCCAAGTCAGCCCAAGAAGCCCCCTAAGACTGCCTGTTAGGGTTCCAAGAAGGCCTCAAGAGAGGCCACAGGGGGGAAACATGAAAAGGGATTTCGAGTCCTTCGCCCCAGGATGGCCCCCGAGACCGCCCGCAGGCCCCCAAGCGGCCCCCCACAAGCTCGAGGAGGCCTCAAAGAGGCCCAACCCAGGCGGCCCCCAAGAAACCCGAGAGGCCCCCAGGACATTCGAAAACCGAATGCAAGAGGCTTCTGGGAGGCCTTCCAAGAGGTCCTCAAAAGCATCCCGCAGGCCTCTGATCTTCAGCCCAGGCGCGGTGATGGGATGGGCCGAATCCCACTACAACATGTACGATGAAACATATGAGCAAATGTACCCATACATAGATTCACATGCATAAGCACACACACATACCTATACCTATGTGATATTTCACATATCTATATGTGTGTATATATACATATATATATATATATAGGAAAATACTAGAACCACGCGCGCTTCGCGCGCGCTTAGGTTCTAGCAGGCCCCAGGCCTTGACGAATTCACTGCTCCACTAAAGTAGTGAACCACAGATGGTTTGAACGGAAAGTGAAGAAATGCCCATAACGCTGAGCGCATTATGGGCAGTGAGAAGTCCACGCATGTCAATCCGTATGCCGGAAGATTTTCGAGGAAAATCGTTGCGTGGGGGGGCGCAGGCCTGATGAATCGGGTTCCCAGAAGGCCCTCTGGGAACATGGTTTTGGGGGGCGTCTTGGGGAGCCTGTTGGGGCGTGCCGTCGTCGTCGTCGTCGTCGTCGTCGTCGTCGTCGTCGTCGTAATGTCGTCGTCGCCTCTTGGGGCGCGCCGCCGTCGTCGTCGTCGTCGTCGTCGTCGTCGTCGTCGTCGTTGTCGTCGTTGTCGTCGTCGTCGTCGTCGTCGTCGTCGTCGTCGTCGTCGTCGTCGTCGTCGTCGTCGTCGTCGTCGTCCTCGTCTTCGTCGTTTCGTCGTCGTCGTTGTCGTCGGATGGACCCTTTCCCAGGATCTGTCCAGCACAGTCTTCCAGTCCAGTTCGAAGCCCGACGACCCCAGGGCCCGAGAACGGCCCCCGAAGGCAGAACTCGCCGAACAACCGTTTCGAACATCGAAACTCGAAGTTGGTCGTCGTCTTCGTCGCCGCCGCCGCCGTCGTCGTCCTCGTCGGCAGAGAAGGCGATCAGCCATGCTCCCAGTCAACTTCCCAGACAGCTCTCTGGTAGCGCGATGGTGCTTCGGAGACTCCGGAGACTCTCGGGCCCATGATGAATCGTGTCCCTGACAGGCTTTCTGGGGACATGATTTGTTGGGGTGTGTTGGGGGGCCTCTTGGCCGTTCCCTCGAAGCCCCTCGGGGGCCTCTTAGGGTTTCCTAGGGGCCTCTTGGGGGCTTCACGGGGATTCTTGGGAGCCTCTTGGATCCTCTTGGTGGCCTCCAGGGGCTTACTTGGGGCCTGTAGGGCCAGGGACCTTGAAATGTGGGTTCGTGGTCCGCCTCATGTGCCCCCTCTTCGGGCGCTCTTGGGGCACACTTGGGTTGTCTGGGGAGCCTCCTGGGTCGTCTTGGGACCTTCTTCGGGGCCTCGTGGGCCGTCTTGGAGCGATATGAAGGGCCTCCGAGACCGTGAGGGAGCGCTGGGAGGCGGGAAAGGCGAGAACGCCCAAATCCCAATCCTCCAAAAACCATAGGAAATATATAAATTTTGCCTCCCAAGGCCCTCTTGGGGAGCCTCTTGAGGTCGTCCTGGAGCGTGTTGGGGTCCCCGTCGGCGGTCTTGAAGGCATCTTGGGCGTCTTCGGGGCCTCTTGGGACCTTCTTGGGCCGTTTTGAAGCCCCCTTAGCCTGTCGTGGCCCGTTTCGGGGCGTGCCCGGGCCGTCTCGGGAGCTCCGAGACCCCCCTAGGACCCCCGGTGGGCGCCCATAGAGGGTACCGGCGCCGGCCGGCCCCCCCCCCCCCCTATATCTATCTATATGTCTATATATATATATATATATGAAACGCCCAGTCCATTTTCCGCCAGGCGTGCGAAGCGATGCTATCTCTGGTGTCGACAAGTCTTCCGACTTTGCAATCACAGATCATACAGACTCGAGCTCGAGGCAACGCTTAACTTCAAGCTAAGCGGGCACCTGATCACTTTGTTCGTTCTGCAATTTTAAAAAGGAGAGGGCGGCGGTGGGGCTGACGGTTGGCCAGGAAAAACTACGGATCGGTGTTGACGGCGTGTTTCGGTCTTCAGCATATCATTAATCAGCAAGCTTATACAAATGAAACGCCCAGTCCATTTTCCGCCAGGCGTGCGAAGCGATGCTATCTCTGGTGTCGACAAGTCTTCCGACTTTGCAATCACAGATCATACAGACTCGAGCTCGAGGCAACGCTTAACTTCAAGCTAAGCGGGCACCAACTCTTTTTGCATAGAACGACTTCTCCCCAAAAACGCCACTGGCTTCAGCCGCACCAAATTCTCTGTACTCGCTGAACTTTCTTTTCTGCAAGCGCCAGCTGGAAGCAACGGACGATGCTAGTGCACAAATCAACTGGGTAAGCTCCGGCCAAGAGCGTGCGAAAAATGCCGTCTGCATTTTTGCCCTGCAACTGATCATGAGGGCGGCCCGTGCGGGAGCAGATCCCGCGGGGGCCACGACAGAGGCGATGTAAAGGTTGGAGGTCCACATGATCGTATATGATGCGAGTGCGCTTTCGGCACGACTGGCCGAATTGACAGAAGTCTAACACGACAGAGCGGCATTCTCTTTGCAATCTCATGAATTGAGGCGTCAGCCAAATTCTAGACATGTGAGGATTCTCCATTGCACACGCACGGCTCGGCACAAAGTAAATAGCGAGGCTGAAAACTTCATGAGGGCGCTGCCGATCCTAACTTTCTCAGCGTCTCGGGGCGCTAGGTCGGGCAACCCCATCACGTGCAGGTCACTTCGCAAGGGCGGGGGCCCTGGTCGAATGTCCCGTGCTCGGCTCCAGCTGTGGCAAGGGGTGCCCAGCCAGACGGCAGCAATCAGCCCGTTGTTGACCCAGCCTCGCACCAGGCGCTGCGCCCGCTGGCGAGTGAGGTCATACTCATCTCCCCAGCGGATGTCCCACTCGAAAATAGCATAGCCCAGAGCGCGCTGCCGCCGTCGCCAGGCCCGGCTGAAGTTGCCGGAGCCGCTGAACACCTCGAGCGCTACGGCCCCGCCCGCACGGGCGGCAAAGGCCGGCAGCGCTCGCAGAGGAATGTCGCCAATCTTCTTGGCGCAGGCGATGGCGTGGTCGAGGAACGGCTGTGGAAACTTGGCCAGCTGGTCGGCGACGCGGCCCCCCTTGCCGTACCTCGTCACCGAGCTGTCGCTTGCCCAGCGGCCGCGAGCCTTCACCTCCGCGATGCTGCGGCGGCCGCTGGCCAGGTCGGCGGACGCTCCGCCGTGCCGCAGCTGGTGCAGGCCCGGCGGGCCCTCGAGGCCGAGCTGCTGGCCCGCCGTGCGGAACGCCTGCGCCAGCTGCACGTGCCGCACCTGCGCCACGAGGTCCCTGTCGTTGACGCCGGCCTTGAGCAGCTTCAACACGTCCCCGATGAAGCGGTAGAACGGCAGGTCGCCCAGCACGCTCTCGTTGAAGGCGCCGGTCTTGCTGGGCGTCTCCTCCTCCATTGGAAACAGCACGAGCGACCACGCGTCGTGGCCGGCCGCCCGCACCGGCGGCGCCACTTGCCGTCTGGTCAGCGACATCAACTCCACGGGCCGCAGGTAGAACACGAACATCACGATGACGAGGCGGGCGGCGTGCAGGTCCTGGTTTGCCGCGAGCTTGTTTGCCACCGCGCAGGCGACCTCCCACGGCAGCGGCAGCCGGCCCCGCGGCGGCACCAGCCGCCTCCACCCCTTCAGCGCCCGGTTGAACCGGGGCAGCCCAGCCACGGACAGGAGCCGCGGGTAGTAGTGCAGCAGCACCGCCTTGAGCCTTGTCCCCTCCTGCGCGTCGCCGCCGTCGAAAAACGCGTGGTGGGCCCACTCCACGGCTGCCTCGTCGTAGTCCTGAGCGGTCTTGAGGCGCAGGCCCAGGGTCTTGGAGAAGATCCTGAACTCCACGAGCGCCGACTGGTAGACCCGCTGGTAGTGGTCGCCCACGCTCTCCCTCTCGAGCAGCGAGAGGCCCTCGCTGTCTGTCACGCGCTTGTCCTCGGGGAACTTCGCTTGCTGGGCAGCGGCGCGCTCCCCCCTCGTGGCCAGCGCCTCGGGCCGAGGCTTGGCTTGTCTCGCCGCTGCCTTTGCCCGGGCCCGCCCATGGGGTGGGCGCGGTCGCGGACCAGCCTGTGACAGCGCCGCCGCTCGCGACAGGGTCGTCGGCTCGCCCTGGACGGGTCGCCGCTTCGCAGCCCCGCCCGGCCTCGCCAGGCTGTCGGTCGCCAGAACCGCATCCCACGGGGCCGGCGGGGTCGGAGCACCTGCGAGCGGCCGCGGGAGGCCGGTCGTGATCCGGCTCAGACAGACCTGGCGGAGGCCGAAAGCACCCAGGTTTGAGCCCAAATGGCTTCGGCTGATAGCGACGAGAAGGCTCGTCGGCCACGTTCAACTCAGACCGAATCCACCGAACCCGAGGATACAGATCGGCCGCAAACACCGTCGCCGCCCACTGCCTGCACACTCTCATCAGGGCCACGCTCGACGATCGGCCCTTCTCAAGGGCCAGGACCTCGGACAACCCGTCGGTCAGAAAAAGGATCCGCTGGCCAAACTCGCTTAAACCCCGGCTCACAGGCCGGACCCCCCAGACCAGAGCGCGCCCTTCCAAGATGGGCATCGCCTCCCGACGCTTCCAGCGGCCGGCCGAAACGGTGGCCCAGGATCCCTGAAGGATTTCGGGCCCGATCTCCGGGACGGCCCCGCTCCGATCCACCTCGCCGAGGGCTTCCAGGTGCCGAGCCGTCCCGACACGATCCAGGTCGTCCAGACCGGCCGCCGCGGCTAAATTCAGCTCCTCCCGGAGCGAGGCGTCTCTCGGCCGAGCGCGATCCTCGGCCCCTCGCGAGAAGCGCCACCGGTCCGACCACCGGCCAGCCTCCGCGATGGACTGAGGGTCACGCTCAGCCAAGCAAACACCACGACCCCAGGGGGAGGCGTCTGTACACCGCACCTTTGAGCTCCAATCGGCATCGAGGCGACGACGGAGGAGGGGGAGGAGACCTATTGCCCAACGAAGCCCCCTCCGCACGGCAGTCCACAACCTACGGCGAGTGTCGGCCCCCCGCTGACTGAAGGCGTACGCAGCAGAGAACGCGCACAGGGCCTCCGGTCGAATTCGAGCGGCGAACGTGAAATGTCCTATGATGGCCTCGAGGCCCCTGCCTGTAGCAAAGCCCTTCTCTAGGAGCCCCTCAATGCCGAGACGGAGCCTCCGCGCTCTGCGAGGGCTCACTCGAATCTGAGGGCACTCGTCACTGAATTCCCATCCCAAGACGGACCCGCCGACTGAGCTCTCACGAGGGTGCATGCTGAGCCCAGCGGCGGTCAGGGCGTCTAAAACGGAATCGGCCACAGCGTCGACCTCTTTGGCCTGGCGCCCGATGGCCGCGAAGTTGTCTACGTATTCAGTGCGAGCAAACCCCGAGCGGCCCAGACGCACCCCGGGTTTCTCATCCGCGAACTTGTTTGAGAGGGACACGCCGGGCTGCCGAAAGGCATGAAATTCATGAATTCGCTGGCACCACCACAAGGCACGATTCCACCCCATCGGCACAACACGCAGGTGTGGGTACACGAGCTGGGTCGGAGAGACAGGGGCGCCGTCGAGCTCGACGACTCCGGCGAGCCCGGCGGTGACAGGGCGGAGACAGAAAAAAGGGACGAGCTCAGGAGGGAGGAGGAGGTGGTAAAAGGCATCCTGGATGTCGACCTGAGCAAGGCACACTGGGGGCCCAGGATCAACCTCGAGGGACGCGAACGATCCGCCTGTGGCAAGGTCGACAGAATCAGGAGAAGCGAAGCACAAGTTAGACAACCGAGCGTCGACAATCAATCTTTGCTTGCCGTTCTTTTTCCAAACAGTAAACAGGCCTACTCGGGGCGATCCATGCCGCCTCCACTCGAGCATGCCTGCGCCGTCAAGGGCCGCGAGGAGGCGCGCATACCGGCGCGGCCTCCCCTGCAGCGAAGGATCGTAGTACGGACGCTTCAAGGCCGACTAGGCCACCCGCGCCGCCGCCTCCGATGGAGGCAAGACTTTGTCTCTCAAAAAGGCATCGACTACCATTGGGCCCTCATCCCCGAGCAAAGTTGTCAGCGCTCGAGGACCGCCCCCACCAGCAGGCAGAGACAAGAGAGAAATGTCGAGCCGAGCGACAGACACCTTCTCGCCGGTGTAGCTGCGCTTGGCCAGGAGCTCCGCGAGGGCTCCCTGGCGAGTCAGGTCGGCGGGCGGCCGTCCGAGCTCAGCTACCGCAGCCTGGATCATGCCCAAGCTGCGCTCCTGCCCGGCACTGGCCCGCTGTCCCTGAGGATGCGGATCAGCAGACCCGCGGTCGAGCTCGTTCAGCGTGATCGCGCAGCAGCGAGCCCAGTCTTCGCAATGAGCTCGCTCCCCTCGGCGGCGCTGCCCCCGACGAGACTTTGGCTGACCGCCATCGTCGCTGCCCATGCTCGGCAGGCGGTAGTGAGGCAAGGGAAGAAGATCACGATTGACGACCCTGCCCTCGTGTGAGCCACGTACAAAGGCCGCGCTGGGGCTCATGTCCAGCGGCCCCCCTGCATACTCGCCGTGGGATCGGGGGCTCCCACGGCGGCCCCATTCACTGGTCATGCTTGCCCGCGAGTCGCCGTTCCTCGCGGGCTTTCCTCATCTGCTTCATGATGCCAGAGTCCCGCTCCAGCTCGGTGGCGACGTAGGACAGCAGCTCCGGCGCCACCATCACCTCTCCGTACTCGCGATGCTTCCCGGAGAAGACAGCCATCTCCTCCAGGCGCGCGCCCTTGCCGCCCTTCTTGTCCTGCTGCTTGCTGGCGTCCGCCTGCCGGCAGACCTCGTAGTAAAAGTACTCGATGAGCTGCATCCGTCGCACGATGTCCTCCGCCGCCGCCAAGTTCACCACGTCACACTGGTCGTGGGTCCCCAAGCGCTCGAGGATCTTCGCCAGCGTCTCGTGTTCGGATACGCCCCACTGGTCCATGGTCAGCCTGTTGTCGGCTCGCCAGCGCCGATCCCAGCCTACGGGCCCCTCACTCCGACGGTCAAGGAACCTTGTGCACCACTCCGCCGTCTGTGGGCCCGGCACGGGCCAGTCCGTCTGCTTCACCGCGCTCACATCGCGCGCGACGTCGCGCCAGGGGCGATGGCGGTCACCTCGAGAGTCCCTCTGCATCTTCAGCAGCCTCGCGTCATGATGGGCCTCCTTCGACCTGTACGCCTCCACATCGCCGTCGCCGATGTCCTCCATCAGCACGGATACCCCCATCAGCACGATCACTCCCTTTCGGCCCGACACCATCTCCGACCCGTTGAACGCCACGTCGTCCCCTCGGCCCACGCTGCCTCCAGGGTACACCACGCTCTCGGCCGCCACCCACCGCACCGTGTGGACCGTCACCGGCTGCACCGTCGGCCGCGCTGGCGGGCGGAAGTCGCGGCCGACGCCCATGTGGCCCTGGAGCGCCGCCGGGCCCGGCCCGTCGTCCTCGCCCTCGCCGGGAGCCCCCGGCGCGGGCGGCTGGGCCGGCACGTAAGCGGGCGCTCCCGCCGCCACACGGCCAGCGCCGCCGGCCTGGGCCGCGGCCGGCCCGGCGGCAGCGGCGCCCGCGGCGCCAGCGGCGCCTCCAGCTCCCCACACGGCGATGCCGTACCCGCGGCGCTGGTCCTCTAGCCCGGCGGCGTAGGCTCCCTCCTGCATCAGTCTGCGCAGCGTCCCCGCCGACGGGAACTGACCGAAGTGATAGATCAGGTTCCGAGGTACCCCCTCCGGCACCTCGTTGTTCGGCCCCAGCCATCGCACGGCCACGGCGTCGTTGAAGTCCTCGACGTACATGTCACCATCCGGCGTCAGGATGAGGGCCCGGGAGTCCGAGGACACCAGTCCGGCGAGCACTATTCTCCAGTGCCACTCCGCGGCCCCGTAGTGCAGCTGCGGCCGGCCAGATGCAGGGTGCCCTGCGGATTGCCCCGTGCCTGCATGGCGCCTCGCGCAGCACGTGTCCAGGACGAACCCGACCAGCACCGCCACGCCGCCGAGCCCGCACGCGAAGCTCAGCGCCACGCGCGTCTCCGGCCAGCAGTCCTGCCGGCCTGGCGACTCGGCAGCGTCCGCCTTGGACGTGCTCTGCGGGCACTCGGGCGGCGGCGGGCACGCTGGTGCCGCCGGCGCCTCGGGGCAGGCGCGGGCCTCCGCGGCCGGCACCGCCGGGCAGGTGACGCTCACCTGCGGGCACGAGACCGCCGGCGCTGGCGGACACGTGCAGGCCGCCGCCGGCGGGCAGGGCGGCGATGCCGGGCACGGCGGCGGCTGGCACTTCCCCAGCCACGCGCCGCCCAGGTTGGCCACCCCCAGCACGGCGGCCTGGGCAAGCTGCCCCAGCATCAAGGGCCTCTGGCCCGTTTCCCCCCTGCCCCCCGGGGAGGGGGGGGCTCGAGCCAGGAAAAACTACGGATCGGTGTTGACGGCGTGTTTCGGTCTTCAGCATATCATTAATCAGCAAGCTTATACAAATATATATTATCCAAGACTGCAGTGGCGCTTCGCGCCATGCACCTTGGCCCTTGTAGTCTGGTATGCAGGCGGAATGGCAGGAAGGTCAAGCCGACAATTTAGCGATAACTCCTTGTTGCCTAATCCGGCATCGCCGTTGTAATCATGTCATTCGTTATCCTTCCTCCATGCTTCTTTTTCCTCATTCGCGACATACCCTGCACATTCTCCCCATCCTCCTCAGCGCTTTTTGCGGAGGTTTCTCCTTGGAGAGCCCCGGGGGGCCTCACACAAGTTGTTCACGCTGTCTTCAGGCCTTCTGGAGGCCTCCTGGGCGTGTTCTGGGGGCCTCTGGGGCTTCCTCGGGCCATCCTGCCTCCAACCGCGGTCTCCCTGAACGACCGGGTCACGATTTGAAATGCTTCGGAGGGCGTCTTGGGACCATCTTGGGCCGCCTTGGGGCTCTCTGAGGGCCATCTTGGACCCCTGTTGTGCTGTTTTGGGGCTCTCTTGGACTGCCTGGAAGCCCTTTCGGATGGTTGTGGGGCGATTTGGGAGTCTCCCAGGCGGCTTCTGACGCCCAGGAGACCGCCGTCTTGGAGCGTCGGGAAGCCGAAAAGAGGAGAACACCAAACTTCACCAAACATCCATAGAGAATCAATGAGTTTTGCCTCTTGGGGCCTTCTTGGGAGTGCTCTTGGAGGCCCCTTGGGAAGTGTTGATGCGATCTTTGGGGGTATGACGGCTTCTTGGGGGTCGTCGTGGACCGTATTGGGGCTCTCTGGGGTCATTTCGGGAGCGCGCTGGAAGGCCTGGAACCCGTCTGGGGCCGTCTTCGGGCTCTCGTGAGGTTCTCCCGGGTCGTCTGGAGGGTTGCCCAGAGGCCCGGGGAAGGCCAGATTTGTCAGAGAGGGGGGAGGGCTTTTTCTGGCGTCGGGCTTATAAGCATATATGAACAGGAATGTGTGTGTATATCGACACCTATATTGTATACTCCCACTTTCCTCCCCCGTGCCTTGGCGCGTAGTGGAGCGTCCCAAGACTCATGCAGTCTTGAGAGTCAAGCCCACCGCCCTACGAGGACCCCCGAGGCTGCCAGCAGGCGCCCTCGATGTCCAGAACGAGTCCCCAAGAGGCCCTACTGGCCATCGCTCGGACGTCCATTCCCTGTGTTTTTTTCGGTTTCGTGCGTGGTTTTTTCGCCAAATGAGCGAGGATGCTCCTCGATAGCCCTCGCCGAAGGAAAAATGCACACGTCCGAGCGATGCCACCAAGCCTAAAAGAGACTCCCTGACGGTCCCCGAGCTGCTCCCCGGAGGCCGCACCTCTGCCTCCATGAGAGGCATCCCCGAGAGGCCCCAGCGCGCATCCATGACGCCCCCGGCCTGCATCCCAGGCGCGGTGGCAGGATGGGCCGCAGGCCACTGGACATGTACTCGTGTTCTCTCTCTCTCTCTCTCTCTCTCTCTATATATATATATATATCCTTCTTCTTCTACTCCTGCCCCTGCTTCTCCTTTCCTTTTAAAAAATGTTGTTGTTGTTATTATTATTATTATTGTTATTATTGTTGTTATTATTGTTGTTATTATTATTAGTATTATTGTTATTATTATTATACTCCTGCCCCTTCTTCTACTCCTTTTTCTTCTACTCCTGCCCCTTCCTCTTCCTTCCTTCTACTCCTTCTCCTTCTTCTTCTACTCCTCCTTCTTCCTTCCTCTCCTCCTTCTTTTTCTACCCCTGCCCCTTCTTCTACCCCTGCCCCTTCTTTCCCCTTTCCTCTCCTTCTTCGCCTCCTCCTGCCCTCTGCCGCGCGCTTCGTCCCAGGCCCTCGTGCAGAGTGGGGGCGCGCGTTCTGCACCTGCTGCGCCGCGCACGCGCCACCCCTGCACCCCACGATTTCTGAGGGGAAGGGTGGGGTTCACTTCGCTCGGGAACTCCCGAACGAAGTGAACCCCACCCTTCCCCTCAGAAATCGTGGGGGGCAGGGGTAGGGTTCGCATGTGGCCCACTACGTGTGCAACTAGGATTGGGCAGGACATGCCTACTGCACGAGAGCTTTCGCGCGGGCTGGGGCCCAGCAGGCCAGCGTGCCCCCGCCCTGACGACGCTCTCGAGGCAGCCGCACTGCAAACGCCTTCTCATCCTCCCGCCAACCAAGCCTCATCCTTCCTCCTTCCTCCTCCTCCTCCGCCTCCTCCTCCTCCTTGTCCCTCCTCCTCCTCCTCCTCCTCCTCCTCCTCCTCCTCCTCCTGCTCCTCCTCCTCCTCCGCCCTCCTCCTCCTCCTTCTCTCTCATTTTCCTCTTCCGCCTCCTTCTCCTCCTCGTCTCCTTCCTCCTCCTTCTCCTCCTCCTCCTCCTCCTCCTGGGACGAGACAGCGGCACCCGAGATCCGGCCGAGCGGTTCCAGGTGCCCTCGCCGCAGGCGGATCGCGGCATCGGGGGCCTGGGGGAGAAGCAGGGTGATAGGCAGGGACAGGAGGGAGAGGACAAACCGAAGGAGAGATAGGAAAGGAGGGAAGGACGAGGAGGATGCGCATGAGGAGGGAGGGCAGAAGGACGAGGAGCAGGAGCAGGAAGGAGGGGAGGGAGATGGATGCTAAGAGGGGGAAAGGAATAGGATACTGTGTGACGGGAGAAGAGGAGAGGACGAAAAAAGGGAAGGATGAGGTGGATACGATGTTTTGTCAACACTCTAGCACCAACGCCTGCGCGGTGAATGGTACGGTGCCAGGAGGGCTGAATCCTACAGGAAACAACATGCGACTTCCCCCCACATCCTCCTCGTCTTCCAACTCCTCCTGCTCCTGCTCCTCCTCCTCCTGCTCCTCCTCCTCCTCCTCCTCATCATCATCTTCCTCCTCCTCCTCCTCCTCCTCCTCCTCCTCCTCCACCCCCCTCCCCGCCTCCTCATTATACTCTTCGTTATCCTCCTCCTTCTCCTCC